CCCTAATTTCAAAGTAGAAAAATAAGAAAGTAGTTGGAAATGTAGATTCGAAAATGACATCTACCATGAGCCAATATTACATTTTATATGCATTTATTTTTGTTTTGATGGAATATATTCAATTATTAGCACACCTCAATTTGAAACACTCTATATATACTCTTCTAGATTACTCTATTACGCCAAACAAAGACATGGGAATTTTCACAGTGCTCTCTACACCACTCTGCCTTCTGTTTTTCTTCCTCTGTCTTAAAACTGCCTTTTCATCCTCTATACATGCTTCTTCCTTCTTAACAACACACCTCTGCTCTCATGAGGAGGCTGCTGCTTTGTTGCAATTCAAGACTTCCTTTTCCATCAATTATTCTAAAGCTTATTCTAAGACTGAGTCTTGGAAGGAAGGTATAGACTGCTGCTCCTGGGATGGGGTTAGCTGTGATAATATCACAGGTCATGTAATTGCCCTTGATCTCAGCAATGATTGCCTTTCTGGCACCTTTCCTTCGAACAGCACTCTTTTTCTCCTCAAAAACCTAGAGAGTCTCAATCTTGCCTTGAATGATTTTAGGCTTTCCAAGATTCCACCAGAAATCAATCAGTTTACTAGACTAAAGCATCTTGATGTCTCTTCTTCTAAATTTTCTGGCCAAGTTCCAGCAGAAATTGCTCACCTCCCCAAGTTAGTTTCTCTCAATCTCTCTAATCATTACGATTCTTCTCACTTGATCCTTGAAACAACTACCTTCAAAAATCTTGTTCATAACTTGAGTGAGATGAGAGAACTTGATCTTCGTGGAGTGAACATGACATCTGTTAATCCTCGTTTCTTCATGAATCTCTCTTCTTCTTTGACTACTCTTGATCTTTTCAATTGTGGGTTAAGAGGAAACTTTCCAAACAGTGTTTTCCGCTTTCCAAATCTCAAAAATTTTTATTTAAGTGGAGAGCAAAACCTCACTATTGATCTTCCAAGTTCCAATTGGAGCAGTCCTCTCCAACGGTTGTATTTAGGTGATATGGATTGCGGAAGGCGATTGCCAGAGTCTATAGGAGATCTACAGTCATTACAGTATCTGTGTCTTAGCTGCAACTTGGAAGTTTCCATTCCAGCTTCCATAGGTAAGTTAAGGCAACTTACTAGCCTATACCTCTGTTTTAACAATCTTAGCGGAGAAATCCCATCATCACTTGCAAACCTTACCCAACTTAGTGATCTTGACCTTTCAAATAATCAGTTTTCTGGTTCCATTCCAGCTTCCATAGGTAACTTAAGGCAACTTACTAGACTAGCCCTCAATTCTAATAATCTTAGTGGAGAAATCCCATCATCACTTGCAAACTTCACCCAACTTAGTGATCTTGACCTTTCAAATAATCAGTTTTTTGGTCCCATTCCAGCTTCCATAGGTAACTTAAGGCAGCTTACTAGACTAGCCCTCTATTCTAACAATCTTAGCAAAGAAATCCCATCGTCACTTGCAAACCTCTCCCAACTTACCTTTCTTCACCTTTCAAATAATCAGTTTTCTGGTCCCATTCCAGCTTCCATAGGTAACTTAAGGCAACTTACTAGCCTATACCTCTATTCTAACAAACTTAGCGGACAAATCACACCATCACTTGCAAACCTCACACAACTTAGTGATCTTGACCTTTCAAATAATCAGTTTTCTGGTCCCATTCCTTTTCATGCTATTAGGTTTTCCAAACTAATGCATCTAGACTTATCTTATAACTTGCTTAATGGCACGTTGCCACCCTGGATTTTCACCCTACCTTTGTTAGAGTACTTGTATCTCAATCATAACCAATTTCAAGGTCAAATAAGTCAATTCCAGCAAAACTCACTCACACACGTGGATTTGTCAAACAATAAACTCCAAGGTTCAATTCCTAACTCAATTTCTAATTTAGTAAATCTTAGTTTTCTCGATTTATCATCAAATCATTTTAGTGATTTAGTAGTACCTGACATGTTCTCAGCACTTCAAAATTTGGAAGCCATCTATCTTTCACACAATAATCTGTCCTTGAGAATGAATGTCAATGCCAACTTCACATTACCCAAACTAATCGATGTCTCCTTTTCTTCTTGTAACTTGAGTGAATTCCCCAATTTCATAAGACATTCAAATGGTCTGCAAAGCCTAGTGCTATCCAAAAATAGCATTCATGGAAATATTCCCGAATGGATATGTGAAAAGGATGATCTCGAAATTCTTGACCTTTCTCATAACAATTTAATCGGGAAGATTCCAAATTGTCTTCCTAAGTCTCTCTCAGTGTTGAATTTGCAGGCCAATTACTTTGATGGAAATATACCATTTGGGTTTCCAGAGGGCTGTGGATTACGAAATCTCAACTTACATGGAAATCAAATGGACGGGCTATTACCAAGGTCTTTGGTGAATTGTCGCATGTTAGAGGTTCTAGACGTTGGCAACAACAACACAAGTGATACATTCCCTTATTGGTTGGAATCTCTACCAGACCTTCAAGTGCTTGTCTTAAGGTCCAACAAGTTCCATGGTTCTGTGCAGAGCACCAAACAAAGTCCATCTTTTCCCAAGTTACGAGTTCTGGATCTCTCCAGCAATGATTTTCTTGGTCCTTTGCCTCTTCGGTACATGGAAAATTTTAAAGCAATGATGGAACCTCATGGAGAGGATGGTTCCCCTGAATACATGAAGGCGCCAA